CTTCGTAGGATGGCCTATTGTTGTAGGTGTCCTGTAGGGTCCAGTGGCACAGCCTCCCTGAGCACCCCAGCTGGGCCCTCGAGGTGCACCCCTACTGTGGACTGTACAGTCTTCTGTTGTAATTGAGTCTTGATTGCTGTTGGCACATCAGTGGGAGGGATTTACTCAGGCTGATCAGCTGCAAGGACTGGCTGTGCCCACTGACCACTGGCCTCTGACTACCTTGGAGGATCAGTTGTGTAGGGGCCCACCACCCAGAGCAAGACTTACTTCAGTAGGTTCTGGTACCCACTGAGTCCACTCATTGAGTGTGTCACTTGTGGAGGTGGTTGGATGGTGGTGTTTTGATGTGGTGTGAAGCTGTCCACTGGGTGTGCTGTCTCTGAGGCAAGGTCAGTTACTGCCTGTGTTCTACCCGGGCCACCCGGCATAAGCTACAAAGTGATCTGTTGATGGCTGCTTCTTGTGCTAGGCCCAGGAAAAGCCAAGTTGTGAACCAAGGCTGGTTGCTCCTAGTGCTAGGCCTGTGGCTATTTAATGAGAGCTATAGGGCTTACTGAGAAAAGATGCTGCTTATTTGAGAGATTTTTAGGAAAATCTGAAGGAGGATCCAATCAGGCCAATCCTATGATAAAACCATTGGAAACAGCTTGGTTGGGCCCAAAATTTAGGTGGGGCAGGACCTCAGGAAATCACCAGGGGAGTGCAAACAGCATAAACCAGGTTTCTGGAGTCCCCAATATGGTGGCCGTCTGCTGCCCTGGGGAAGGGTTCACCCAAGGAACAGTGGCCTCTGATAGCAAGTCTGTCTAGGAGAAAGCTGCCCCTCCAGCTCTCACTCCAATGCCAAACAACTTAGTTCTTCTCCGTATGTCTCTGGTGCCTTTCAAGCTGCCTCCCCTACACTGGAACCTGGAGGGTGTGGGCCCTTTAAGAGGAACTGCCTAGGGCTCTAGCAGCCTCAGTCTCTCTTAGCCTCAGTTCCCACTGGTTTTTCCAGCCAGAAGTTATGGGGACTTCTCTTCCTGATACTAGAACCCTGAGATGCATGCCTGATATGGAGTGGGGACCCCTCACTCCTCAGGGAGGACCTTCCCAGCTGAGGTACCCTCCTGATTTTTATCCGCCACACGTGGATGTCTGTGCCTCCCCCCTTCTTACCAGTCTCCATGTAGCTTCTTTAATTTCATAGTTGTGGGACTTCCATTCAGCTCAATTTCAAACTGTTCTGAATGATAGTTGTGTTGTAGTTTAGTTGTAATTTTGATGGTTGTATGAGGAGGCAAGTATTGTGTTTACCTACACCAGAAGTTCTGATATACATTTTTAACAGCATCTCTCTGGCTGATGACTTGAGAATTGCAATAGATGAGCAGAGGAAGGAAGACCTTTGGGGGTGTACTTTTGGTAATCTAGGCAAGAAATGATGTGGATCAAGGTGAAAGCCGTGGAGGTAATAAGAATTAGATTCTTTTTTAAAGATAGAACCATCAAGACTTAATGACATTTTGGACATGGGACATGAAAAGAGCCAAGTTTAACCACAAGAATTTTGGCTTGAGCAACTGGATTCTGGAAGGATTGGGTAGATTTTTACTGGAATGGAGCTATCTACAAGAGGACGGCTTGTAGAGGATCGGAAGATGAGGAACTCGGTTTTAGCTGTACTATGTTTTGAGAAGCCTATTTTACATTTAAGTGGAAATGTCAAGTAGACCATTAGATAGAGGCCTGGAATTCAAGGAAAAGGTCCAGGTTAGAGATAATAAATTTGAGAATTGTCAGCACATAGTTACTTAATATTTATAGCTATGAGATTGGATAACATCAAGGGAATGAGCATATATAGAGGAGATGAGAGACCCAAGGGCAGAGGCCCTGGAGCAATCCAAAATTAAAAGGTCGGAGAAGGAATGCCAGTGAGAGAGGGAAATCAGGCAAGTGGAAACCAGGTGAAGAAAGGAGAAGGGGGTGATCATCTGTATCAAATGCTGCTGACGGATTAAGATGTAGAGTGAGAGATGTCCATTGAATTTGGCAACATGGATGTCTTTTGTACATTTAATCCTCACAAAAACCCTAGGGTAGGTAGTACTATTGTTCCTGTTTTACTAAATTTAGAAAAGTTTTACAGCTGTTGAATATGCCTAACGTAAAACACTACTAAGTGACAGATATGCGTACTGAATCCATATCTGTCAGACTTTTTGACCACTGTACTGTACTTCCTTTTTATATCACCTAGAATTTTTTAAATTTTGTAAAACATTTTAACTATGCAAAAACTCAGGTTAAAAAAGATACACATATTCTCTACTCAGAATGAAAATATTTTAATATTTTATATTTTATTCAGATGTGCATTTTAAAATAAATAAAATATTATAGGTTAATTCATTTGTTTAGAAAAAATTAATTGAATGCCTACTGAATGTGAGACACTTGTTTTGGGCACTTGGAATAAATAGGTGAAGAACACACAGATTTCTGCCCTCAGGGAAAACAGGTAATAAACAATAATTGTATGTTAGAAGGTGTGGTACACAGACAAAAGAAAAATATATAGGGCATGAAAGTCAGAAATTTGGGGCTGGGAGGTGGAGGGAAGTTTTTACTTTTTAATAGCATGGTCCAGATAGGCCTTAATGCTGAGGAAACTTACCTGGGGGAAAGTAGTTTCTGGCAGAGGAAGTAGCCAATGCAAAAATCCCCTTAGTTCCCTTTCCTAATCCATTCTCCTCTCCTCCCCAGAAACAACTGATACTATGAATTTGATGTGTATCTTTTCAATCTTTGTTTTTATACTTTTACTACATATATTTCTACATAAATAATATTAAGTATTGTCTGTTCTTGGTTTATATAAATAATGTGCTGCCTTTCATTCAAATTATGATGAACAAAATATTTGTCTAGTTCATTCATTTTTGACAGCTATTTAGCATTCCTTAAAAGTGCCATAATTTATTATTTTTGTTCTTATTACAGATAGTGTCACACTATCTTCATGCACATTTCCTTGCATATAAGTGAGAAAATTTGTTTAGGATTTACATCTATAGATAACTGAGCTATTTATATGCATTTTTATCTTTATTAGATATTGTCAAATTATTCTATTGCCCACATCAACAGTGTGTTAGAAGTACTCTTTCCTCTTGTCCTCACCAACCCTTAGTATTGTTAATATTTTATTTTTGCCATTGTGATGGAGTGCATTATTCTTTTTATATTGATTTATCAGATTACTTGTGAAATTGAGCTCCTTTTCAAATGTTTACTGGTCATTCAATTTTTCTCCTCTATAAATTGCCTGCTCATCCTTTGCCCATTATTTATTGGCTGTTTGTATAAAGGACTTTATTTTTTAGGTTCATAACAAAATTGAGAAAGGTACAGAGATTTCCCATATTCCTCCTGCCCCCACACATAGCCTCCCTCACCAGAGTAATACATTTGCTACAGTTGATGAACCACAGTGACAATATCATTATTACCTAGTCTTTGGTTTACGTTAGAGTTTACTCTTGGTTTTGTATATTCTGTAGGTTTGGACAAATGTATAATAACATGTATCATAGAGTATTTTCACTGCCCTAAAAATTCTGTGTTTCACCTATTCATCTACCTCCCCCCGCCCCCCCCCCCCGCCCCCCTCACCCCCACAACCCCAGGCAACCACTAATCATTTCACTGTCTTCATAGTTTTAGCTTTTCAGGAATGTTATATGGTTGGAATCATACAGTATGTAGCCTTTTCAGAGTGGCTTTTTTCACTTTAGTAATATGCATATAAAGTACTTCCATGTCTTTACCTGGCTTGATTGCTCAGAACGGCTGAATAATATTTCCTTGTCTGGATAGACCATAGTTTATTTATTCGTTCACCTACTGAAGGACTCTTGGTTGTCTCCAAGTTTTGGCAATTATGAATAGAGCTTCTATAAACATCCATGTGCAGGTTTTTGTGTAGACATGTTTTTTACTCCTTTCAAGGAGCATAATAGCTGGATTTTATGGTAGGAGTATGTTTACTTTTGTAAGAAACTGCCAATCTGTCTTCCAAAGTAGCTGTACAACTTTGCATTCCCTCCAGCAATGTATGAGAGTTCCTTTTGCTCCACTTGCTTATCAGCATTTGGTTTTGTCGATGTTCAGCATTTTGGCCATTCTAACAGGTGTGCAGTAGTGGTGGTATCTCTTTTTAAATTGCATTTTTTCCCCATACAATATGGAGCATCTTTTCATATGCTTGTTTGTCATTTGTTTATCTTTGGTGAGGTGTCTATTAAGATTGGCTCATTTTTTAATTGGACTATTTTCCTATTGTTAAATTTTAAGAGTTCTGTGTATATTTTGGATAACATCCCATTATCAGATATCATTGGCTTTTTTTTCTTATTGATACTATTTTTTTTATTTAGAGTGATCTTTCTAAACACTTTCTGAGAAACTAAGATGATTACAACATATTTTGTTGTCATCAACTGCTAAGTGGTAGAATTTACTACTGATTTATTTAAAACATGTTTTTGTTTTTATAAAGACCTGGTCTTAAAATGTATTGAGTGCTTATTTCTGTAAATTATGGATTGTGACATTCCTTAATTGCTTACTGCCAACCTAGCACAGGTAGAAAGGTGTGAAAGATGAATTAATATCAAAATCAGAAATTGCTTACCTTGTTAGTTTTAATGGGGAAAACATAGAGCATATGGTTATAGGGAGGTGTGTACATGTATTTTAATAAAACATGCAATTTAGTTTCCCATGTTCCTTTATTTCCATTTTGTGTAAGAGTAGTACTGTTATATTATAGTAGAGCTGATGGTCATTATCAGATACTAATATCAAGCCACATTATTATGCTGTTGACTCTTTCCTATCAAATATAAAAATTTTAAAAAAATAGTATTCTTTGATACATGATGTCATAAATCTGACATATAAATAGAAAAATATAACAATCCTTTGGTAAATTTTATCTTACTGTCTTTCAGATTAACAAATAGGAATATTATACACAAACCTACAGAATGGACCTTAATTGCTCTGGTGTTGCTGTCACTGTAAGTACTCTTTCAGATTTTAATTCTAAATGCTAAATATGAAGAATTTTGATTAGGGAAAAACAGAGTTGTTCATTGATTTTTGTAAACATCTTTAGAAAACGTTATACCTTGCCCAGCTGGTGTGGCTCAGTGTTTGAGAATCAATCCATGCACCAGGAGGTCACTGGTTTGATTTCTGGTAAGGGCACATACCCAGGTTGTGGTCCTGATCCCCAGTGGGGGCATGCAGGAGGCGGCCAATTGATGTTCTCTCTCATCGATGTTTCTATCTCTCTCTCCTTCTCCCTTCTTCTCTCTCTAATGTCAATAAAGAAAAAAAAATTTAAAAAAGAAAATGTTATACCTCTATTTTGTACCTAATTGTTATTTCCCTAATAATAAAGTAACTTTTATGTAAAGAGATATGCTATATTTTGATAAGCTGTAATCATTCTCTATATATTTTTTTCCTTTATTGATTTTAGAGAGAAAGGAAAGGAGAGGGAGAGAGAGATAGAAACATCGATGAGAGAGAACATCAATTGGCCGCCTCCTGCATGCCCCTATTGGGGATTTGGCCCACAACCTGGGCATGTGCTCTAACCCGGAACTGAACTAGTGACCTCTTGGTGCATGGGTCAATGCTCAACCACTGAGCCACACCGGCTGGGCAGATTCTCTATATGTTTTTAATGTTTTTTTTTCCTGAGGGCCTTTTTCCTCACAAATATTACTTATCTTTTAAAAGAGAAGAACATCCCAGTGTGGAATATATACAGAAGAGTCCTTTAGTGTTAGTTTCATTTTTAATAGTGCATTTTATTAACATTAAATAGGCCTCATTATTTTAAATCTGTGTCTTTACCAACATATCTAATGCTATTTCATTTTTCTTCAACATGTTTTGTTAATAGCATCAGAAAAGTTTCATCTTCAATGTATATCTTTAAAATCAAACAGATTTAAAGGAACTAAAGTAGATACTACACGAGCATATATGAAACATTTAATTCTCATTCACCTTTTAAGAAATCACTAGTGGTTTCTAAGGATGTCATTCAGTAGGGTTAAAACTAGTAAGTATAGTGTTTTTCAGCTTGAATTGCAAAAGTCTTTTTTTGAGGACCATTCATTACTTCATCATTGTTGCTACTTGGTGCTTGTTAGGTCATTGAAGCCCATAGGACATTGAATATTTACTGGACACTCACAGGTCAAGAAATGTTATGAGCTAACTTCACAGCATCTCCAGCCCTGCTTTCTCTTTCTTTGAAATACTTTAGTCTGACATGCTATTCTGGCTTTACTGTCCCAAGGAAGGCTGTGCTGGGAGACATTAGAGTAGGCTTCACTGAGCCAGCATTTGTGTCACCCAGCCAGATACAACTCACATGATTCATTAAATCAGAACACAGAAAATAACTTTACTTGAATGGCCTGATATAAATTTTTTATCAGCCATAAGAACAAATCCTTTATTATTTCTACTATTCAGTGTTCCAGTTGAATTGTTTATTTGTGAAACAGATCTTATTAATTTTTTAAAAAGTTCTTTCCATTTCAAGAAATTTGTAAATATTTTGGTCACTGGCAAAAAAAAAAAAAATCTGTATCTCTGCTCACGCACCATATCCTATGCCTGCTAATAAACCCTCCTAGATAACTGTTTATCTGTACTTCTGCAATTCATTATACTAAAGAGGAAGTAACTTTTTTGGTTGACAAGTCAGAGGCCTAGGTCCAGCAGTAATCTCAGAATCTTGCTTTCTAAGCCAGTAACTGGAAGTATTATCTTAATGAGCAGCTGCTTACTAAGGATACATGTGAAGTCCTACTTTTTTTTTTTTTTTTCAAACTCTTGCCACATTTCCAAAATGTATAGCAAGGAACAAATAAAGTGTGGAAAATAAAATGATAAAGGCTACCATAAAATTTCATATGATTTTCCATATAAAAATAAACCTCTAGTGTTTGATTTTAATAGAGGCATCCATGTGGCAAAAAATACTGAAAGCTTTTCTAGTCCTTTTATGCACTATTTGACTTTCCTAACTTTGGATGTAGTATAGGGAATCTCTTATTTCAAGGGTCAGTGACCCATAAAAATAGTAGCTTAATTCAACTCAAGAAACAAGCTGCACACATCTTAGATGTATTGCATGTTTCACATTTTGCAATCAGTCTTGAGAGTGTAGCAGTCAACAGTTTCCTTTTGTCATCTGCCTTGAATCCTTTCATTGCTCCCGAACCCCTCCCTACAGCTAGATCTGCTTGTTCTTCTTCTAGTCCTTGGTCTTTTTAATACCTAGTCATCTAAAATCCTTTCCATTTAGGGCCCTTTTATCTTTTAAATCTTGTTTTCTCATAATTCTAACTTGTGCCATAAATCCTTTCTATAATTTTCACTGATCCTTTCCATTCTGCATTTGCATTCCAAATTTTCACTAGCTGAATCTCCTCATTCTTTGGTCATCAGCTTCTAAGACTTCTGTCTCCTGCCCCCATATTATTTTATTTCTTATTTCCTCTTTTCTCAGAAAGTCCCCTTTGGCTTTTCATATTTCTGCTCCCCTGCCCCCCAGGGAATCTATGGCTCAACTGAAACCCCTTTCATTCTCAGCCTTGTCCTTTTACCACCCTTTTAGAATAAATATTACTATATGGAATGGGGATAAAGTTAAAATACATATTCATAATGTTAAAACTAATCCCATTGACTTCTATAAAGTAAAATCACTTTACATTGGCACCCCTCTTTCTTCCCACTTACAGTTCACAATTACTTAAGAAGGCACTTCATTGAGGAAATAAAAAGCAGACGTCAGGGCCAGCATTGCATAAAGAACCTTAAACACAGTAAAAAGTATGGAGATTTTAGACACCAAAAGAGACATGCACATATAGAGAAAGGAGGTGACACACTCATACATACTTGTGAAGTAGTAACCCAGCCATTCAGCCTTTTAACTTATTGCTGCTAAGATTGAATTTGGCATATATGGGATTATCTTTTTTTAAATAATTATAATTTGGAAAACCTTCACACCTACTCTTAAATTTTCAATGGAATTTTTTACATCATTATTTGTAAACATTTCTGGAATTTATGTTAAAAAATATACCTCTTAAAAATCTTTATAGCTAGGAAAAACATTCTGAATGGTAGTTGTAGTCATTGAAATTCATATAATAAGATAATATTTTCAGTATTATTATAACAATGGTACTATTTGTATATGAATGTTGCAGAGGTGTTTTTTTTTTTATTACTATTATTTCATGCATTTGTTTAATGCATGAAAGCTGTTTTCAAAATTTCTTGTGAGAACTTAGAAAAGGGTACATACAGGGTGGGGCAAAAGTAGGTTTACAGTTGTGAGTACACAAAACAGTTTATTCTTTTTTTTTTTAATCCTCACCCAAGGACATTTTTCCATTTTTTGTTCAGATAGAGTGGGAGGGAGAGGAAGAGAGAGAGAAACATTGATGTGAAAGGGACTCATCAAGTGGCTGCCACCCGCACGACCCAACCAGGGCCAGGGACAAACTGCAACCGAGGTACATGCCCTTAGCAGGAACCATACCTGGGTCTCTCTGGACCACAGGCTGACGCTCTAACCACTGAGCCAAACTGGCCAGGGCCAGGGTTAGGGTTTATTCTTATATTTATTAATCATTGTATTATGTTCCATATGAACAACTGTGAACCTACTTTTGCCCTACACTGTGTACACATTTATAATTTTATTAGTATGTTGCTATACTGGCTCAAGTCTAACACTTGTTAGAGGGGGGAAAAAATAAACATTTTGAGCAAAACATGATAGTCCAAAAGAGCGAGCCCTGGCTGGTTTAGTTGGCTCAGCAGTTGGAGCGTCAGCCCATGGACCAAAGGGTCTCAGGTTTGATTCCCAGTCCAAGGGCACATACCCGGGTTGAAGGTTCAATCCTGGGCCCTGGTAAGGGTTGTGCGGGAGGCAGCCAGTTGATGTGTTTCTCTCACGTCGATATCTCTCTCTCTCTCTCTTTTTCTCTCTCTTTCTCCCTTCCACTCTATCTAAAAGTTATTGGAGTAATGTCCTCAGGTGAAGATTAACAAAAAGAAAGAAAGAAAGGTGGGTCTTGAATTTTCACACTTGTATTTTTTTTTTCTTTTTTTGTTAATCCTCACCAGAGGATATTTTTAGAGAGAGTAGAGTAGAAAGGAAGAGAGAGAGAGATGTGAGAAAAACACATCAATTGGTTGCCTTCTACAAGCTCCCCAACCAAGGCCAGGGAATGGAACCTGCAACCCAGGTATGTGCCCTTGACCAGGAATCGAACCCGTGATCTTCTGGTGTGTGGGCCAGTGCTCTAAGCACTGACCCACACTGGCCAGAGCTCACATCTGTATTCTTTTTTTTTTAATCCTCACCTGAGGATACTCTTCTTTTTATCTTCAGACAGAGTGGGGGGGGGGCAGAAGGGAGAAAGAGAAACATCAACGTGAGAGGGACACATTGACTGGTTGCCTCCCGCACAACCCCGACCAGGGCCAGGGGCCAGCTGCAACCGAAGTTCGTGCCCTTGGCTAGAATTGAACCTAAGACTCATTGGTCCGTGGGCCCGATGCTCTACCGCTGAGCTAGTTTGGCCCAAGGACCAAAGACTCGCAGGTTCAATTCCAGTCAAGGGCACATACCTTGGTTGCAGTTCTGTCCCAGCCCTGGTCTGGGTCATGCAGGAGGCAACCAGTCGATGTGTCTCTCTCGCATCGATGTTTCTCTGTCTCTATCTCTTCCTCCCAACTTTCTCTGAAAATAAATGGAAGAATAACCATTTATTTTAAATGGGTGAGGATTTAAAAAAAAGGAAATAGGTGTTTGTGTAGCAAATCATCTTTTCCTGGTAACTTCCCTTATATTTTAACATATTTATTAACATTAAAAAATAATTTAAACTACAGTGTATAATTTATCATTGTATACTGATGAGAATGTCATACTCATAAAATCTAAGAAAGAAATTGATCAAATCTA